ATATTTTAATTTTTTTCAATATGCATTTATTAAAATGATTTAATTTTGAAATAACATTCCTTCTAATATTTAAAAAGTAAAACGGATAAATATTACTTCCTATGTGTATATATATATATCTAGTGTTGGAGTTGTATGGCAACACTTTTGACATTTAAGACCAGACCACAGTCAATGGATCCTAGAGTTCTAAACCCAACCATCAGCCAGATTTCATGAAATGATGGGAAAGCAATTTGGCAACTACTTCTGGAAACCCAACTTTGTCTTTCCCATCAAATATAGTCTTCAACTTCTCATCACATTGGATCTCCCTTTTGTTTGCAGGATTCTATAAAAAAACAAGAACAGCATCGTCATGAACGAGGAAGATACTTGATTTACAAAGTAGATTGATAATAAGATGTGAGAATGAAATTTAAAATGAAGAAAGAAAGGCAACAATGGCATTGAAGATTTCTGAAATATGATTCTAGCAAGCAAGTTAGCAACACAATAAAGAAAGGGAAAAGTGAACAAGACCATACTTAACCCGAAAAACTTATCTCAATTGATCCACAAACAGACTCCATTTTGAAATTTATCAGAGGTTACAGAACCTAATACCAATGTTTTACAGTCAATACATAGATTTACATTATAAAGAAAGAACTGCTACTGTAATCTTCTTCTACCCATGTTAGGAAAATATAACTACTACGAAATGAAATCAATAAAGATCAAAAAGGAAATCCCGAGAAGGGTTAAAGACCAGCGGATTATGAAGCTTTACGTAATCCCATATCTTTTTAATGGCTTCGGTACGAGAGGCTTCGGAGGTCCCCAGGAATTGGCTGAGTTGTGGAGAGACGGGAGTCGGCTTCAGAATGTGAGTTTTGGGTTTTGGATTAGGGGCACTTGCGCTAGAAGTCTTCGCTGCCGCCATCAGTGACCCTGCATCTTCCAAAAACCCTTGATGTCGCCATCGCTACTCTTCTTCCGCAAAACCCCAAAAGCTCGCGCGCTCCCTTTTCTTGCGACCTTGGACTAAACCAGAGGGAGATGAAGAGAGGAAGGAAAATGATTGCGTGGAAAGTGTACTTCGGGATTTCGGCCCTTGGGCTATTAAACCTCAGTGGGTTGGGCTTTTAACAATGGGCCGAAAATGGAGCTTCTTTATAATTTCAACATTTTTTTTTTGCTGTTTATTATTATTATTATTTTAACTTCAAGGTTGAAACTAAAAAAATAAATAAATAGCTATATCCATTGGATTTGCTCCGATTTTCCCATACAAAATCACATTCTGATTTTAAGATGTTTTCATTCATAATAATTTGATTCCAAAACAAATTTGTGTACCAAAATTTCAATCCCACCCCCAACAGACAGACACAGAATCATGGTAAAAACAAATGGAATGCGATCGATCAACCGTTTAACAGGCAATGAAATTCCTTGAGGCATATCATCGAACAGTTGGTAAACAGAGTTTATGAGCATAATTTTGTTCATAACAGAACCATAATTTTCCCAAGACATATTAAAATCAAGTAGATGGCTACAGTAAGCAGAGATCAGCTTGTGAGAGGGTGTAATCAGAAGCGTTTGAATTGGAATTGAGACAGTAACTTTGCAATCTCTGGAGTCCCAATGCTGTCTTTGCCACTCAGAAAGGCCTTCAACTTGTCCATGGGAAAACCTTCCTTCTTCAATCCACGACCCTGCATGGAAATATCACCAGAAAATGATTCACAGCTATGAGGAAAAGTAGAAGACCGGAATGAAATTGATTGTGGAACAATTTGATAAAAACTAATACAAGCATCCTCACTGAGGCATTTCATCAAACAACTTCCATTCATCATTTTACTTTCCATGATTATCACATTAGCCTCAAATTCATATGCAAAACTACAGTAAAAAGAACAGAACGCTTATAATCCATTGATCAGATCTACAATTTTAGGTAAAGAAAGCTTAAATGAAAAGGAAAAGTGCGTACATGGCCAACATGGAGTTTGATGAAGTTGGAGATCAACTTGGGGATGTCGGAGCTTGGCGGCTCAGGGATGCCCAGGAATTTACCCAACTGAGAGGAAGGACTAGGATCTATCTTCGCTTTGCCTTTGCGGCGGAGCGGAATCTTAGCGGCGTTAGAAACCCCTTTGCCATGGAACAGCTTCCGACCGGCGTTAGAAGCCATCTTTTCTCTGATTTCACCCTACGCAGATGCGTCCTGGAAATTAAAATACCCGATTTCGAGCACCGTCAACTCCCTTAACGGCGTTATTTTTTACTCCTATTGGAATGCTGTTTGCAGCCAGGCACTTGCATCATTTACAATTAATTCACAAAAGGTGAAAATAAAATTGTTATATATAATATCAGTATATATCAGTTTAAAAATTGTTAGTTCAAAATTTAAAATTTTAATTAGTTTTTAAATTTAGATATTAATATTTAGTCAAATAAATTTTTTAAATTTTAAATTAAATTTTAATTAAATAAAACTCTGAGAAGGCTTTGGAAAAAGAGTAGAAATGACACATAGTAACGTGATTCATTGATTTAACCTTTGATTCAAAGCTTACAGATTAGGATTGAAAAGCTTGATTTAACCTTGGATTCAAGGTTTACAGATTAGGGTTGAAAAGCAACAACGGTTTCACATTCGGGACAAAAGGGAAGAAAAATCTGTAATGCATCAATGAATCAAGAATGGGGAAGAATTACAAGCATTCATGGATACAAAAACAGTTAGCATGGAGAGGTGGTTAGTCCTTCCATGCCATAAACAAACGAGCCAAAGGGTTGTTGCAATGTAAGCGACGGTCACCAGGCTTCCTCACCTAGATAGAAAATGCACCACCCAGTCTTGCCCTGACGCCCATTTCGACTGCTAATGACGGCTTTGATGTTTACTTCTTCTGTGATCTGTATCAGGGTCAGGGTCAGAGTCTTGATATGAGTGCGAGTGAGAATGTTTCTGTCTGCTCCATTTGCTTTTATGATGCCTACCAAAATCATCTTTGGATGTATAAGAATGCCTCTGTTGGCTCTTTTTACTCCTGTTGTGCCTACCAGGTTCAGAATCTTCAGATGAATATGAATGCTTATGACGATGAATATCAGAATCATCTTCTGATAAATGAGTATGCTTGCTCCTTTTACCCTTGCTTCGGTTATCAGAGTCAGAATCTTCAGATGAATAAGAGTGCTTTTGTCTGCTCTTTCTCCTCCTATGCCTACCGGGGTCAGAGACTTCAGGAGAATAAGCATGCTTGCGACCATGCATCTTGGCATCATGCTCTGATGAATGGGTGTACCTCTGTTTGCTCCTTTTACCCTTGCTTTGCTCATCGGAGTCAGAATCTTCAAATGAATAAGAGTGCTTTTGCCTGCTCTTTCTCCTCCTATTCCTACCAGGGTCAGAGTCTTCAGGAGCATAAGAATGCTTGCGACCATGCATCTCAGCATCATCCTTTGATGAATGGGTGCACCTCTGTTTGCTCCTTTTACCCCTGTTTTGCTTATCAGAGTCAGTGTCTTCAAGCGAATGTGAATGCTTTTGTCTACCATTTTTACCCTTGTGCTGTCTAGCAAATTCATCCTCTTCAGATAAATAAGAATGCTTGTTTCTACTCTTTCTCTGATGCCTATCAAAATCTGAATCGTCTGATGAATTTGACTCAGAAAGATTCTGCTTCTTCTTTTTGTGATTCTTCTCTCTAGACTTCTCCTCGTCATCAGCATCAGAAGGTGAAGACAACCTATCTGATGACTGCCTCTTGTGCCTTCTTTTCTTCCCAGACTTCCTTTTTTTGGGTTTGCTTGAGAAGTTGGTTAGCAACTCAGGAATATTGCCTCCACTAAGAAATCCTAAAGAAAACAGATGGATATAACAGTTACCATGCAATCTTTGGAAACAATAGAGATTAATTGTATGCCAAAGTTTCTTAATTAGGAAAAGGTATTCACCTCCATATTCATCAAATATTTCCTCAGCAACTATTTGCTGATTGGGGTCATCTGGTTTAAACCCTCCGCGAGGAGGACTCAAGCCCGGTTTTTGTTTCAGCTCCCACTTCAGCGGCTGCAGGAAGAGGGATTTTTCCACATATGAGTTATGAGAACAGAAAAGAATACAAAAAAGATGCAAATGACAGTGTGTATGCTCATCGTGAAAACCTCAAATCAACAAACAATGGTGAGATGAAATCAAAATACTCAAAAGGGAATATCTGATAAGCAAAGATCAACTGACCAACTCCATACTCACATCCAAACTCATTAAAAAATAAAAAATAAAAAATCTTATCTGACAATCTTAGAACTCATTGCAGTTATCTGATCCATGCTTAATTTCTTTTGCTTATTGCCCAATTGACTTATTCATTTCTAAACCATCTTATAGTCTACATATGTAGGATTTTTTTTTTCCTTTTCCTCATATACACAAACATCTCCAGGGAACAGCTACAACAATTTTACAGTTATGGTTTTATTTATTTATTTACTCTCCTTGAATTGAAATGACAACAAAAGTATAATGCTGACCTCAGTAGGATCTATCTGAGCAATGATAGCATTTAATGGGTCATCTCTTTTCAGGCGACTCTCTTCATTAGGCATTATAACATCCTTCAAGGGACATTCACGGTCACCACTTTGGTGACCATAATTTCCACATCTTAAACATTTAACATTACGTACTTCAACACCAAATGGTTTTACCCTTGCAGGAACACCTGTCTCCAGCCTGAAAAAGTTATCATTAATTAAAGATGAAGTTCCTTTCCACACAAATAATACTTGGTCTACCCAGCCAAACAAAAATCATAATAAACAACAAGGCCTTATAACAATAAAACAAGATCCATATTAACTCCTCCATGAAGAACACTAAAAACTAAGACAACCAACTAGCTTCCTAGCAAGAGAGAGATAGTCAACTAAACTCAATCACTCAAGGTCCTATATCAGTCACTAAATATTCATTTGAATCTCATGCATCTACTTGGTGTTAATTACCAGGTTCAGAACATGCTCTGACTGTCCAAATTTATCATGGCACTAAGATCCAAATTAAACTTTCATTTATTGGGACAAACCAACCAAGACAAACAGGAATAATAACCATATCGTTAAATATTTAACCTTTAATTATATATCCAATCAATGCTTTTGCAAGTATCACGAGTTTGCCTCCAGTTTATGTTACTGATCATGATATATCTCCTGTCATGGTTGCCCAGTGTCAAACTTAAACTACCATTGAAGCAGAAAACAAATTGCAAAATATATAGACACATACCGTGGAGCATTTTTAAGGATTTCAAACTCCTCCTCAGTTGGTAAAGGACGCCCAAAAACATCTTTAGGTCTTGGTTTCTTTTTCTCCTGACTCATAGTATCTCTACCATGCAGGGATTCTTGTGGCCTGCAAGATGAACATAAAATTTGTTCACTTCACCTTCAAACAACTATGTAAAGAACACAAAAATTCTATTCCTTTTTGTCCTGTCATTCCTGTAGGAGAAAAATATTAAAAAACTTAATAAGGCAGAAGCAAAACAAAGGTTTCATCCAATAGTACATCGCAGCTGATGGTCCATCTTCAGGCTGGTCTGTGTTATTCTGCACTTGTCTTTTCCTTTCATCGTCAATCTCTGCTGCTTTGGCACTTTCAGCATTGTAACCAGGTGGACGAACGTACATGAAGCTAACGGCTTTCATCATCTCCACCTAGTCATCAAAATAAACATTAAAACAGTAAGTTACCAATAAACAAAAGTATAATCTAAGAGCTAGCAAAATGAGTGGGTGAAAAAACAAATCGCTGAAAACTATCGAATATTTACAGTTCTAGGGGAATGCTTAATGGTTACACTCATAAAGATCATATCACAACATTCATTCATTACTTAATTTAAATAGTACTGGCTTTCATTATATTCGATTAGAGGGTTTCAGCAAGCTCAATTGTGCTACACTTTTTACATTTTCTATTGTATGATAGCATGCAATACAATTATATTATCAAATGCAAATGAAATCTAAATCAATTTAACTAATTCATATAGCTAACATAAAGGAAATTCAAGGAAAGGACTGAATTAGAGAGAAAACCTTTTCCTTCTCTTTCTTGGAGATGAGGGCCGTCTGTCGAAAGAACTCCTGCTCTTGAGCATACTGCAAAAGATACAAAAATCGGTATTCAAAGCGAGAGTTCGGTCGCGGAATAACAAAACGCGAAGAAATATTAGAAGGAAAAAGAAGGAAACCTCGCGGGAGACTTCCTCCGAACGTCGCTGTTTCTGAGCGTGGGTCTGCTCGGCAATCCACTTGCGGCGTTGGTTAGGGTAGGAGAGGGGATGCCACGGCTTCTGATTGAGATAGGAATGGCTCCAGGCGGTGCCGGCCTTGACCTTATAGTCGACCTCCCCCGATCCAGCCTTGTCGGAGAACCGCTTGCTCAGCCTCAACCCTTCTCCCTCTTCTCCGTCCATCTTCTATCGATTCAGCGTACCTTCTTAATCAGAGAAACGGATTTGGTGGTTTCTACTTCCCCAAATGCCCAATTCACAGTACCTGAGATGATTTTTGGCTGCTTGGGCAATTTTTTCCTCCTAGCCCCAAATTCAGAAAAAGTTTTAAAACTACTCAATAATATACTTCGGGACAAATTTTTTTAAAAAATAGTTATAATATTCTCAAATTAAAAATGTCAAAATTGCGTAAGAAATTATTTAATTTATAAGAAATATTTTAATTTTTTTATCAGTTTAGATATTTTAATTATTAAGATTTTTACAATCTCAAAACTACTAATATAAGGATACAAACTGTTTCCCAAGTAGGATACCAACTTAATCCATTTTGATTTAAGGACATAAACCCAAAGATTTGTTGAATTAAGGCTAATGTGGCATTCTTTATGCATATTTCTAAAAACATTTATAATTATAATATCATGTAATATTATAAATTTATATTAATTAATAACATGTTATTATATAATTGATTTTTTATTTAATATATCATAAGTGATATTATATATAATTATTTATTTAATACTATATTATCATTGTAAATTTGCAATCTTAATTCATATTCTAGTTATATCATTACCACGATCCAATTAAAACTAAGTCATATGATATTGCTTTTTCTTTCTCTTTGACAACCTAACCTACCATCCAAA